ATTAAAAAAAGTAAATTATATCAGCCACGTGGTGTGCAGGTGGTTAAGGTAAGCCTGGGTTCCGAAGTCCAAAAGTGCTCCCCAGATTCTGGGAGTAGAACCGGCGTTTATATCCTACTTTTTGGATTTGGATGATTTATAAGGTTCTGATGGATTATACAAAAATTTTCATGATAAGGTTGAGGACAACTGGAATATTAAGGTGATGTAGGATTCTTTTGGTTATTCAGAACGGACCATCGACTAATGTTCGGAGAACTTTGAACTGGAGGAATCGGATACGTTCGCTGTTAAAGAATTTTGCTGTCCAATTTGCTGTCCTGTTTTGAAGTCCAAAATAACCTTCGAAAATGCCTTCATTCGAGTTTTTCTATTTACACAAGACTAAGTTCAGTGGGCATTGTTACACCCTATCTTAATGTTGATCTTGTGACCATAGGATAAATTTTTCGATGTAGGACTGAATTGCTCGATTAAAGCGTAAAACCATGTATGGTGGAAGGAAGCGATAACTGTTCCGTATGTAACTATCAAGAAAAGAGGATATCATTCACTTTTGGGGGACTTGTCACATGTACAGTGAGATAAGAGAGAAATGTTTGGAGCAGCAGACCTGTTCTCCGGAAGAATTATTTGGTTTATTAAAGGGTTCTATTTGGAAAGCCTTAAGCAATTATACACAGCAGGCTACCTTGCAAATATCTCAATTGGTCAGATAGTAAACTATTGATACAATATCGTGTTTATTTATTGTAACGTTTGTCTTATTGTATTGATTGTTATTATTATTATTGTTGAAATTAAATTTCTTATTTATTCAATGTATGAGGTATTAATGTTTGTTTTTTGAAAACTCCATTTAAACAAATGAAACAGTGAAGGAAGAAGTTGTTATAATAGAAGTATAAATATATAATAATACTATAGATATATTATTATTCATTTATGTGACCCAGTGCTAAAATATAGCACTAAATATTTTGGAAAGGAATAAAAGACATACTCATCGACCAAAATATAATACCTTATTTTCAATTCGGTTTTCGCATGTCACAGTCAACAACATGATTAAGACCAATTGACTCTATTACTAGAGCAACAATTTCTCTCTTAGTGCATGTTTTTTCGACCTTTATACTTGTGTAAAACAATATTTTTATTTCATATATTGTATCAACTGCTGGTGAAGGTTCTAAACCAAAGATAAAATTAGAGCACTCAGTTTTTTCCTGAAGATCTCTACAGCTGGTATAGAGGGGTGTTAGTTCCAGATAACTACCCTCAGAGCTTCTACCTCATCTGATTATTGTAGAGATCTGCCTTTGTATCAGACAGATATCTACCTATTCGTCGATATTCATCAGCTGTGTCCGGTGAAATTTTAGTATCGTTGGAGCAACATAGGCAGGAGTTGCTGATAGCAGTTATTTTATTTAGATGTGTAGGAGATTTTTAACAAATATCGAAGGAGGTCGGGGATCTCTTGGAATGACTACTTGGAGTCCGTTGCTTCTTTTTTCATTTTGAAGCTTCAGTGGTCTATAAGCTACTCTCTCAACCGCTAAAGATGCTAAAGCCAGTGGGGATTGAGTGAGAGCGCCAGATATAATCATGTCTTGGTGGATAATTTGGCCATTGCCAGAACTCCAAGATATCTACTACAAAATGACTCAGGGCCACTGCCGCTTCAACCTTCGAAGAAGACTGTAGGGTGGGTGGAGCTAGATAGGGATTGTGCAAGAGGACTTGATTGAGTTATAACGCTCTGATGGAATTTAGAAATATTTTCGGGATAAGGTTGAGGATATTGAGGGTAAATGGGATCGACTAATGTTCGGAGAACTTTAGACTGAAAGAATCGAAGAGATACAGTCAAGTGATATATTAAGGTCATGATGTAGGGTTTTGTTGGTCAGTGTTCCATTGAGCGGACCATCGACCTAAGGGTATTTGGAAAAACAATGTCGGATACTTTGGACTACAGGGATTGGATACGTTTCATGTTAGATAATTTCTCTGTCCCGGAAAGTTCCAGTCTGTGGATCCAAATAGGTTTCAGAATTGTCCTATAGATCAGTTATTTGTCGTCAATTGAAAGTTGAGATTTTCTAGTCAGTAGTCTGTATAGTTGGCCATATCTTCTTCAAGTTTCTTGTTTTTTAAGTTTAGTATATGGGCTTCACGTTATTTTTCGGTCTTAGAAAAATCTTAGGTACCGGACTGTGTCTGAAAAAGGAAATTAATTAAAGGAAATGGATGTAATTAAAGTAGAATAGTGGACAAGATTGGATTCGTTCGACCATTCACCACACCAGTGCTCAATCAGGGAGAGGTGTCTTTGCAGATTTAATGATGCTAATTCGGGATCTGAGTTGGATGATAGGATGGCGGTGTCATCAGCAAATGTCACCAGGAAAGTATTAGGATGGACAGGGATATCAGCGGTAGTGTTGTGAACGTAATCCGAGCTGATGGGAAGGAAGAACTTGGGGGTCTATAAAGGGTAGGATTCGTTGCAAAGATTCTTAAGAGGATTGGAAGTAGGCTAATTGGTCTGTAGGAAATCAAGGTGTGGGAAGGTTTCCCTGTTTTTGAAAATTGGACAATAATCGAATGTTTTCACAAAAGAGGAAATCGCGTGTTTTGCAGGATGGTATTTTATATGTAAGCGAGGATATAAGAGTTTTAGAAAGAGGTCGTATCCTGAAGATGGAGAGTAACTTTTAATAAGTGATGTTTGACCTCAGAAGGATTAACTGCTTTAGGGGATAAGGAGATTGGAATTTTTCAACTGTTGTGGTATGGGTAGGGTTGGATTCCGAATGAGAGTTAAATGTTCTAGAGAGGTGTCTGATGATTTTTTCAGCTATTTCTTCATCAGATGCTGTCCAGAAGCCATCGCATCCACGGAGGAGGTTTGAAGTATAGTGGGATTTTAGGATTTTTTTTGTGATCTTCCATAGGGAACTGTCAAGAACAGAGAGGAAAGTAAGGTAGGAGTTGAAGGATTAGGATCAGAAAGTGGCCAATTCCTGATTTAATTCGTTACTGTAATGCTTATAGTAGTGACGATCGGTTTTGAACATTGCCATAATATAATGGTACACCGTTTGGTGTGAATTACGTCCATCAGGTATTGAAGTATTGAAGTACTGCATTTTTAAGGTCTTTGGGGGTTTTCAGGGTTATTCTGAAGTAAATGTTAGCGAAAAGGATTTGATGAAAGAGTTTCCTTTTAACTAAGCCTCTGATGAAGGACGGTGGAGAGGCTTTACGAATAGGAGCATAATAAGAGAAAAATCAAGGATATCAGGATTGCGGTTAGGATCAGTGGGTCAGTAGGTAGGTGAGTTGGGTGGAAGGATGCTCAGATGTTGGGAATTGAGTGCAGAGAGTTATTTTACGAGGGATTTTGGTTCTTGAATCCCGGTATAGATTCATGGCATGTAGGTCTATTAGGCATTATGGATCTGTTAGGATTGCAATATCCTGATGCAAGGGTGGCTGGAAATGAAATTTTGATTACGATAGCAATTGATTGAAGAAAATCTTGTGTTGATAATGGGAGTAGGTGATTAGAGAGGGATTGGGGTAAAATTATAGTGGTATCTGCATGTGCTTTGCCATCAAGATACTTAGTGCGGTATGTTATTTACTGTGAATTTTATGGTGAATTTTTTAAAGCTATTTTCTGGTTAGTGCTTTTTTAATTAGGGGAACATCGTCGAGCTAAAAGAGCGACACCAGCTACACCGGAAGAAGCTTCATTCTAAGTCAGGATAATCATCTTAGGGGATGACTGAAAGAATCTGTTTTTCATATCTATGGTAAGGAATCCCCAGTTATTCCAAGAGATAACCGACCTCATTCGATATTTGATAAATGACTGTAATAAATGCAGATGACTTAAAATGAATATTGAAATACAGATTAAAATCCTTGTTAATAATTAATAAAAGTCTTGTTATTAATTAATATTTAAGTAATTATTTTGATTTTTGTAATTAGGAGACCGGAACCGAATAATTCACAACAACATTAAAATTATCATCAAAATTACAAATATCAATTATTCGGACCTGCAAGAAACAACTTCATTAGTGATCAGCATCATAATATTAAAATTAATTGGGAGAAGGAAATAGAAACTTTTTTTTTTATTTATTTATATGATATTTACAACTGTATACAAAAAATACATATGGTAAATTCGCACATGGATATAATGACATGGAACACATGTTGAGAAACTACTCATTGGTAGCACTCTAATAATATGTCTATATTAGAAGATCACGTGGCCATCTTCTTTTCAGACGCCTCGGAGGGTTATAGGGAATCGAATAGGAAGCAAGGTTAGATACAAGAGGGTTGGGATGGTTATGAAGTTTATTATGGAAGGACAGATATCTGGATTGGGCCAAATCTGATACATAAGGAACATTAAGGTCATTATGGATAATTTTATTTGTAACAAAGTAAGGAGCATTGAGGATTTTAAGAAGGATTTTGGATTGTAATGATTGTATGCGAGAATAATTTGAAGGTTTGGTGGAGCCCCAAAGCTCAATTCCCTAAGTCCAAATAGGCCTTATTATAGTCATGTAAACGAGTCTTTTATAATTGATTGGAAGGTTAGAGCGTTTGTCTAGTAAGTGTTGAAGTAGTCGGAAACGTCGAGCTGTTTCTTGTCGTTTCAGTCTGGTATGAGGATTCCAAGTTAGACGTTTGTCCAGATGGAGTCCTAGGTAGCGGATTTGTTCAATATGAATAAGTGAGGTGTTGTTAAAGGATACTGAAGGACAGGAAGTCATTGGTTTACGACGAAGGGTGAAGGTAATTTGATGGGATTTATTGGAATTTATTTTAATTCTCCAGTTCTGACACCGATTTTCAAGGTTTGTGATGTGGGATTGAAGGGTTTGAGATGCAATAGATGGGTCGTTATTAACTGATAGGATAGAAATGGAAACTAAAAGTAAGAAAGAAAAACAAATTAGTATTTTGCTAACATATATATTTTTATATTTTATACATGATCAACATTTTTTTTTTTGCCATCCGTATCTTGGATCGTTTTTTTTAATACTTAGAAAAATATATTGTCGTATAGGTATTGCACCATTTCTATCGTTACATAATTACCTAGATTTTAAAGTCTGTACTAACGAATTTGTACTTTGTTAAAAAAAAGTTAACATCCCGCACGAATACCAAGGACGGATAACACGTTTTTTTTTTCTTGCGTCGTCTTAACTTCACTCTTAATAAAACCTTGATGCGTCATTTAGTCTAGAATGAAACAGAGGACATATTTAAAATTGATTGAAATTTCTTGAAAATAAATAAAGAATTGTAACAGAAAATCATTTATTATACTACCTCTGAAATGTATTAAATAAACTAGTTGGATAAGAATATAAATGGAATTTCAATTATGGATTAAACAATTAATTAGTATCTCAATTAATTATTTAAATGAAATAAGCTTTACCTTATGCATCCTTTTTGGATTTTTTAATGAAATCGCAGCAGGTGCCGCAGTACTTGATGTCGCATTCGTAGCAGTTGACGGCTTCACAGGCGACGCTAAAGTCCTTGCAGCAGTAGGAGCAGTCGTCTAGGTCATAGAAACAGTTGTTGCAGTCCACGACCGCGCAGTTGTAATTGTATCTTACATTCACCTCATCCTAAAAAAAACATATTTTTAATATGATAGGTGGTCGTATACAGTGTATATTCGTTGTATAACGATTCTATACAAAATTAATGAATATATTGTCATTTCAAAAGTATTAGGATATAATTCAGTATATTTTAAACCCATTTACATTTCTCTATACTATATGAGCCTTTCAGTTGACAGAACGAATTGAATTGAGTATTTTTAAAAACAATTATTAATCTCTCTTGCAGTTTCACGAAAACTTAGAATGAAGCTCAACTTACAAATGCGAGAAAGAAATAATAGAATTATACAGTAAAAATAAGTACGAAGAAAAAACTAAAATAGAAATTTATTTTTTATCTAGTTATCCTTTCGTACCTTGGTAGTTTCAACCCTGAAAAAGAACTGGAAAGTGGTGTTGAATGAAACTAGCAAATGTTAAATAGAAAGAATAGAATTATAGAAGGTATTGAAGTAATGTAGTCGACTGTTCTACATATCATGGGTTATAAATATTCAGTTTTTAATAGTGCCGACGTTTCAACCCAAACATATAAGTCATTATCATCGTGGTTCGAGCACAGAAGGTATTCAAGTACTGGTATACCTTCAGAAACGTCGGCACTAATAAAAACTATATATTGACTGCGTACTGAGTATTTATCACCCATAATAGAACTATACAGTAACAATAATGGACTGTATGATGATAAAAACTGACGAGGTATGTGTGCAGAGAGTAAGCAGTTACCAGAAGGCTTCGACAGAGCTTTGCTCAATTTAGGAGTAAGATGACTGAGCGGATAAAGGAAGATGAATAGAAGGACAGGCGGATCAGAACCAAATCACTCTCAGTCTGCAGTGTAAGAGATCAAGCTTAACACTCCGCAAGGATGGTAACCACAACCGGTGGGATTAAAATCCGGACTTGTGGGAGGATGAAGTACTAACGAATGGATCAATCTGCTGACTCAGTATATATGAATACAAGTGGACGGATCAACATCCAGACCTGTATGGAGAGAGAATAGGAACAAGATTAATGAACTTAGTTAAATAAAAGAACAAATTAAGGCGAACCAAAAATCGTATATGGTACACATATTGATCATCTGCGTTTTGGTCATCACCCTGAAGGGGAAAAGAGAACCGAAGATCTGAATAATTCAGATTTGATTGCGGTATTCATTCCGCCAAGATTAAATTGGCTACCAAGAGCCGTTACAATAACAGTTGTTTTGATCAGTATATGTTTTCGACATTAAACATTATTAATAAAAATTATAGAAAACACATCTGGACTTAGCATTTATTTTTTATCTGGTTATGCTTTTGGAGCTTGTTCTGTTTAGCCCTGAAAAAAGACCTGCTAAGTTGGGCCGAAACGTTAGCATGGAATAAAAATAGTTTTTTTACTATTTAATTATTTTTTGACCGCCACCCCGGACCATTTCCTTACTCAATAATATACAATTGTTAACCATCAATTTATCTTTTATGTAATAAGAAATAACAAAACATGTATGTGAAAGTAATATGAAATCTATTTTACATGTGCTTAATAATAAAATAAAATAAGAACCGTTAATAAAAAATAATCATAAGTCAAAAAAAATAATCATATATATATGTATATATACAATTTCTTTCAATATTTCAGCATTGTTTTATTTTTTCTTATCTTTAACTTATGATTATTTTTTATTAACGGTTCTTATTTTATTTTATTATTTTATTTTATTAAGTTGAGGATTTTACGTAACTGTCACAAAATTAATGAATCTAAATAAATTGATCAAAAACAAAATATCTATACTATACTAGCTTCACTGAATTTACAAAATCACTTACTACAATTACAAAATTAGTATTCACTTTGGAAAATTAGATTAAATCATAACAAATCACAACGTACAACATTTACGCTTCGACGAGACACATGCCCACCTGTTTTTATCTGCGACAACCAAATCTCTCAGACGGACACTGTACGTTATTTCGGGCTAATATTTGACAGAAGGATGACCTGGGACCCACACGTTAAAATGAAGCGAAAGACTTTGAAAAAACGACTGAAAATATTATACTCATTTTTTCCTACATATACACTTACCAACTGAAACCCATACGGACATACGCCTCATAAATTAATGATGCAAATAAGACGCACTCACAAAAAGTACAATTCATTTCAATCCAAAATTTTACGACTAATAACATCAGCTCCTTGGTACATAAACAGCAAAATCTTACATACTGACTAACGATAATCAACTATCGACCAACACATGCGTACTTTCTACTCCTGATTTCATCTTAAACTACACGGGCATCAAAACAGACTTATTAACGACATGGCCACAGCTAAAATGCCCATCAGGAGATGACTAAAGAGGAGCTGGATGAGAGATCTCCTTTCCTGAAGTAAGAAAGTGAACCAAGACCAGGCAGAGGTGCTGCTGGGTACTTCTTTCCCTCATGCCTAAAATGCCAATTTGCTTTACTTTAACATCACATCTGCTTATTGTCAAGACTATATATGGTGTAGCTAAAAAAAAAATATTTGAAATGTTACACGCTTCGAATAAAATGATTGTTGTTATAAAATCTGGATGATTTGTTGGACTGGAGTGGCACAATTGATTCCAATTTGAAATTTCAAATCGTTTTGGTTTGTTCCACTGTGAGTGTACGGAGATTTCTATTATTACTTTGATCCCTAAGATTTGACGGCCGAGAAACACGTTAACAAGGCAAAGAAATAGACCGATTTGCACTTTTTGAGAACCTATTTGAATATTTTGCCAGAACTGCCAATTTGGTATTGGCAGTTGAAGTAGACTTGACTATCGATGTATCAAGGGTTTACAAAAACTAATACAAATAAAAATAAAATAAAATAAAATAATCACTAAACAACTTGAATTTTTTTATCTATTTCTTATATTTTAGAATAACTTATAATGTAATTGCCATACCTTCGCCGCAACGAGACACACTCCTACCAAGCAGAGAAATAATACTAGCTTCATGGTTCTGAACCTGGTCGAGGACTGGTACTGAGATTTCCGGTGGTCCTGTATTTATACTGATACTTTTAGTGGAAGGGGTAAAGGTATAAATTGATTCATTGTTAATGAAATTGTTTAGGTTTATGTTTACAGACAGTTAAAATTTTAATGTTTTTAAATTTGATTAGAATTCTCCATAAATAATTTAGCATTGCTTACTTCACATCGTGTTTTAGGTTTTAAAAATAATACTCTGCTTGTGCTGGGCTATTTCATTTCAGATATCTGCTTGTTGCTGTATTCAATATTTCTTGTTTCTATATATCAATCTGTTTTAATGAGGCATTCATTTTACCTAGAAGCTTCTAGATGGATTATTACGAGATACAACACATCCCACCCACCTTAACCTCTGTGCCTTCCTATGAAATATTAATTCACCAGTTTCTGTAATCAGATCTTTAGTGGCCTTTCTTCTGAATGTATTAGTTCTCTTATCCCAGATTGCTCGGAGGTTGTGCGGAGGATTTTTCTTTTGAATCTATCAACACTTTTTTTATAGGAAGCTGGTTAGTGCCCAAGTCTCACCGCTATATACCAGAACTTGCTTTATCATACCATTGTGCACCGTTAATTTGTGATTTGTTAAGGTTTTCCGAGATGTCAGTACTTTTAAAAGAAAGAAGAAAGCCCTGTTTCCGTTAGTTATACGCTGGTCTATTTCTGACCATTGGTCATTTAGAGTTTCAGCAAGTTTCTCAATGTTCTCTTAATTTATCCTTTTACTTCCAAAGACAATTATCTGCGCATTCAAGGATTCTATAATTCTTTATGACGTGAACATGTCCAATTCAATGTGATGTTCCTATCATCTCCTCCAGGGCTAATTAAGAATTGATTAAAAGCCAATAATTAAGAATTGAAACATTTATCCTAAAATCTAGCCGGCATTAGTTTAAAACAATTATAACAAACAAAGCATTAGGCATATTATAAATTATCGATTATTCAACGGATAATATTTTAAAAACTTATAATGGGAGATTTTGCAAGTAATGAAAACAATTTAATATTTCATGGTTATAATTGTATCAGTAATGGAGAATACCAATCAAATTAAAAAATAAAATAAAAAGTTTAACTATCTATCAATTAACTGTGCCATAACAATTTTTTCACGAAAATGAATCATTTATTGCCTCAACCCTTCCACTACACTTACCAATATATTGGATTGGCAAACAAGTCCTTTAGGTTTTCAGGGTGAAATAAAACTCAATGTATTTATCATTATTATCTACTATATATTGACCATTATTTATTAAGACTTTTTTCCATCTTTTCACTAACTGCATAATGCCATGTTCATATATTGTTTGGAGTTTTTTTTTAAAAAGCTGATCCAAGTGTTTTTGATGTCCTATTCCTTTCGAAATTTCTTCCCTTTTGTGGAGTTCTGCAGAGACCGAAATGAGTGGTAGTTACTCGGAGCTAGGTCTGGTCACCATAGGTCCCATCAAAGGCTCAACAATTTATTGCGAGTGACCAATGAGGTGTAGGGGCCTAGCGTTGCCTCGGTAGAACACAACACCCTTCCAATTTGCCAGTTCAGGACGTTTATTTTTAATTTATTGATCCTATTTTATTTATTGTGAGCAGTATAGAGTTGAATCAATTGTTTTTCCTGATGGCAACAGCTCATAGAAGATATCACTAATGAAATCCCACCACATAGAAAGCATTATCTTCTTTAGATGCAATTCGGATTTTGAGATTCTTTTAGAACCCTCACTACTACTCACTACTCAGGTCCCCAAGTTTTTCTGCATACTGTGTGTTGCCAAGTTGAGTGAGGGACCCATTTTTTTTTTTTCCTCGCCGTTATGGCTATACGGGATTACGGGTGTGAGCGGGGACTTAAAAGACTCCCCCGGCACCGGGACGCGAACTCGAGACTATTTTTATATATTTAAATCATATATCTGGTTGCCGGGCAACGGCGGTGCAGTGTACACGCTTTAGCCCATTCGGCCACCCCGCCCACAAGAGAGTGAGGGACCCAAACATTAAGCCTAGAAACATAGCCGAGCTTTTGCAAATGGTTTATACGCTTGTTTGCGACACATTTAGGGCCATGGCAATCTCTCGCACTGATTGGATGGGATTTTAATCAACAGTGGCCTTAAGATCGCTCGTTTCAATTTCATGTGGGCGACCAGACCGTTGAGCATCATTGATGTCAAAACCGTAAGGAATCATTCCCGTAAACATTGCAAATTTTTCTATGAGCTTCTGCAGCACGCTTACCTTTTTTAAAATAATGCAACAAAATATGCTGATAATTAATGATATTTTCTTCCATATTCACAGTGCTATAGCAAACACAATACTAAGTTTATTTTAAAAAGAGCTAACAAATATAGTTGTTTACATATTACCAATAGGATAAGCAATCCACCATAGGGATTAATTCATCAGATAAGAAGTGACATAAAAATAAACAGAAAAACTGAAAGGACTTATTTGCCAACACAATAAATACAGTAATACCGCATAGTAGAGTGAAAGCATCTTTTTAGTGACGAAAGTCTGTAAAAGACAAACGATATACGAATACGAAAGGATATGCATTTAGGATCTGTCTCACTTATAGTTTTATACAGAATACATTTATGGTCGCAACCTAGCCAATAACGAGTTGTATGAAGTATGAATGTAACGGGGTAAAATATTTAAATTTATACAAGTGTTTAATTTAAACGTTTAATTCTGAATATTTGAGTGCGCTTATGTTAATATCGAACAGAAGAAAAAAAATGATTTCAGAATACTGAATAGAAAATCTAAACTTTCTATTGAAAACAAATTACTGATCTACAAGTTACTGAAACAAAATTGGACTTACTGACTAGACCTGTGGAGGACTGCAACATTATCTAACATCGAACGAATCTAATCCTACCAGTCCAAAGTCCTTCAAACAATATCCGATGCTCCTTTATATGTAGCCAAGAAAACTCTCAACAACCCATTTGTCCTAGACCTTATCCCAGAAAATTTTTCCAAATTTCACCAGAACCTTACGTACCATCGAAATCCGTCATGCCCCCTCCCTATACACATTCAAAAACCTAATATTCCAATTCCTGTTCCAAAAACAGTCAGATACCAGCTAACTATTAATACTATATATGTATTGTGTAGCAATCATATAATCATATGATAATACTTGGTGAGAGATAGTACATGCATTTCCTACTATCTACGTAGGAATTTCAATACATACATTTTTTTTTTTTTATTCAATTACAATTAACTTTTTTTTAAATATAAATATATACAAATAAAGTTTTTTTTTTATGGAATGAACTAATTCTATCTCTTTTTCGTTCTTAATTTCTCAAAGTGTATATTTATGTTGTTCAACCCTTATATATAGTTTTGTTCATAGTTTCAAGTGATTCGTTCATAATTTTATGTGATTTGTTCATAGTTTTAAATACTCTGTACATAGTTTTATCTGTATTGTAAATAGCTTGTTCACCTAAGGTTTTCGTTACTTTTTAGTTTATTTTATCAATTTTATTTATTGTTTCAAACTTTTAGGCCAGTAATATTCTATTCTTAGTCCCAGAATAAAGGTTTTTTTTCTATCTTTCTATCTATCATCCAAATATTCTTGCACAATCCCTATCAAGCACCACCTATTCCTATAATACTCCAAGAAGGTTTAAACGGCAGTAGCCCTGCAATCTTTTGTAGATTGCATGTTTTGGATTTATGCCAATGATCCCCCATTGGAGTTCTGCTTTTCCCTCCATAGTTGGAGAGACAAGCCTGCCCGGAGTTCCCTCGCCTGACTGTAAATCGTGTAGAGGTATTTATGTGTTTTAATTTACTGATATTTAAGTTATTTTATTTTATATATTGTATATACTTTTTGATTATTATTTATTTGTTATTTTATATTTTTTTGTACATATAGTATGAATATGATCTTACCTTACTATAACTAATATCTGAGTGACAATATGTTGTAAAACTAAAAAATATATAGATGTTTACGACTAAATTTTATTAGGAATTAAAAAATAAAAACGGTTATAATAAATTATATTGCACTGACAATTAAGTATTTTACAAGCCATTTACTTTTAAGGAGGAGCACGTGGTATATTACATCATTCTTGACATCAATGTTGAGACTGTGTAAGTGAACTGAAAAATCTAAAACAAAATATATAAAAAATATAAATATGCATATATATATATATATATATATATATATATATATATATATATATATATATATATATATATATATATATATATATGTATAATCTTATGAATAAATTTTAGACATTAAGAATATAAGCTGGTGTTGGAGGTTAATTTACTAAGAAGGGGAAAATCGGAGAAAAAATTATTACACGATTACAACTGAATTAAAATTAAAGACAACGCCGAATTTGTTCATTTTATTCAATATCACTATAAATATAGCAAAAATTTGACACTATTACCTAATTATGATTGTAATCCTTTAGTCACGAAAAGGAAATCGCTGAAATCCTAATCACATATTAAAATTACTATAATCATAATTGTTGATTATGATTATGTCCATCTAAGTTCCTAACCCAAGTTTCTCATCTTTACTCAAATCTAAAATACTTTAGTAAGACCTATTTCGATATATGAAAGAGAACAGTGGGGTTCAAGTAAGCCAAATTCTAACATATACAGTAGTGCCCATCCCATCCAAGATCGATGGCGCAAGAACCTACCTTCCCCCTCTTCTCTCAAAATAATTTATTGCTCATATTTTCTCAAAAACAGAGCAAGCTAAGATATAATTATAAAAATAGTATATCATATACAATTACGCTTGCTACTACATTTTTTTTATACTTGTCCCATAGTCCAAAAATTCACAACTCCATCGAAATTCGCCCCCCTCGAAAATTCAAATACTCGTAAAAATATACCCCTCCTCAAAACTTTTGATTGTGCAACTTGCACCATCAAACCCCCTTCTGGGTGGGTAACCCTGAACATACACACTAACGAAATGCAAACAGCTCAGTT